GCGTCCTGCAGGACGCGCGCTCAAGATCAGATTTGTCACGCGCAATACGTGTGTCGCTCACGGCGTCTGGTTCTGAAGATTGGGATGCGCTTAAAACACAGTGGCGCCTGCGCTGCGCAGTGGAGGGGCGTTCGCTTCGTCGGCGCGTTTCTGAAGAGCTTGCTGATACCGCGATGAAGTTACGCATTGCTTTGCGCGCCGAGACGTCTTCTCCTCTGATGCGAGCGTGGCAGCGTGAACTGCGTGAACGCTTTCAGCGCTTGAATGCTGCTTCGTCCCTGGCGGCAGCAGCATGGCGCTGTAGACACAACCCATGTGCACATCCCGAGGTGCTGCGCTACGCGAGACATTCCTTTTTTGGGCAATCAGAGCCATCTGTCTCTATGACAGCACAAATACCACCTGCGCAGCAGCTTCCTACGCGTGATTGATCTGTTTTCTTGGCGCATTTTGAAGCCATGTCGTGTTCGGCCATGCGGACTAACTGTGATGAAACACCGCCAATGCTTAGAAGTTTGCTCCGTATTCCTCAAGAAGCTGCGGATTGCCTGCACATCCCTCCGTCGGGTGTAGAGGTAAAGGCGGCACTGAAATCTATGAAACGTGGAACGGCCCCAGGGCCAGACGGTTTTCCTGTTGAGTTTTACTTGACATTTTGGGATGAGATTGGTGCTACATTTGCCACGGTAATCCGGCGTTGCTACGAGGACGGTGTCTTTCCATCAAGTTTTCGAGATGGACGCGTTGTGCTTATTCCAAAGGGTGATGCTTCCTCCGTTAATCCTGAAGATTGGAGACCTATCACGCTCCTCAACGTTGACTATAAGATATTTGCGGCGGTAGCCGTTCAACGTTTGAGGGGTCTGTTGAACACCCTAGTAGGTCATCACCAGACTTCATCAGTGCTTGGACGAGAAATACACAGCTTGTCATATACCACACGGGATATCATAGCTTATACTTTGTCGCGATCTGCGCGTGGTATCATTGTGTCTTTGAACCAGGAAAAAGCGTTTGACCGACTAGAGCACGCGTATATCTTTAAAGTGCTCACAGCCTTCGGCTTTTCTCATTCGTTTGTGGAAATGATTAAAAATACGTACACTGGTCTGAAAAGCACACTTGTTCTGGATGGCTGGGAAAGTGCCGCCTTTTCCATAACACGTGGGGTCCGTCAGGGATGTCCATTGTCTCCTGTGCTATTTGTCTTCAGCCTTGAGCGATACTTGCGGGCTCTTGACGCGGATTCACGTGTCCGGGGTCTTGCGCTTCCTGGTAGTGGTGTCGTGAAAGTCACAGCTTTCGCTGATGATATAATCTTGTACCTTTCAGATGAAGATAGCCTTTCACGTAGCCTGCATGTATTTTCCCAGTATGGGGGCATTTCAGGTGCAGCGTTGAACATCTCCAAATCTCGGTATTTCTTCATTGGCTCTCCAAACTCCAGGCTTAGCGCCGGTGTTCCCATTCAGCCGGCCGCGTCCCTTCGTATTTTAGGTATTTTATACAACCACTACGGAATTTGCGAATCTGTTTGGTTAAACGCTCTCGAGGAAGTAAGACTGAAAATTCAGGATGCACGGGATTTCGACTTCCTGCTTCTTGAGCGGAGGTACCTTGCGCAGACTGTATTTTGCGGTCGCATTTGGTACTTTTCTCACGTCGTGCAACCATCTTTAAGTATTGTGCGATCACTGCAGTCTGCTTTGTGTTCCTTTTTTTGGTCAGGCGGCACTGAGTTGGTCTCTCGCGCGGCACTGGGACAGGAGCGTTCTCAAGGAGGCTTTGCTTTCCCTTCAGTGTCCATACGCTGTCGGCTGCTGGCACTGCGTTACCTTTTGCGCCTAGTGCAAGGGGAGGAATCTCCCGCACAAACGCTTGCACATTACTTTCTGGGTACTCACCTGTGCCATTTGATGCCTAATGTGCAACTTAACAGGGGCCCACAGTCAATAACACTTCCTGCGTTTTATGCAACAACTGTTGCATTTTTTCGCCATTTCAAGTCGAGCTGTCCTGGCATAGATGTTTTGAACAACCACATAGTTGAGACAACTGCTGCTTTGTTGCTTCTGTTGGTCCCGCCAGCCCACCGTTCTCGTTGTAGACGGGTGTCTTGGAGCTCCCTAACGGCTTCCTTTCTGCCTGGACACCTTCGGGACTTCATGTGGCGCCTGGGGTGGGGTGTGCTTCCCACTCTCGACCGCCTCGAAAGGTGGAGAATAGTCCAGTCAGCAACATGTCCGAACTGCTCCCTTCGAGAAACAAATCAGCAATTTCTGAGGCATTGTGTCATTGCTCGCGTTTTTTGAAGAGCCGTATATGCCGGATTTCACTGCCTCAGAGTAAATCGCTTCGTTTCTTCTGGGCGTTGTTTGCGAGGCCGCTTCGCTTGTCTTCTCATTGTTGCCGGCTGTTTCTGCCTCTGGCGCGACCGCTGCGACGCGGTTGCAGTGGGCCGCCGCCGCCGCGCGCTCTACCCGATCCTAGAACGATTGTACTCGGAGCTGTTGTCTGTTTTGTCGGAGGAGCTCTTCTTCCTCGGTGAAGAGGAGTTTCTTCAGCACTGGTCTTGCCCTTTTGTGTCGGTCTATGACGGACGAGTGAAACTTGTCTTTCGGCCGGCCAGGTATTGGTAGGCTGATCTGTCGATGCGCCGGCAGAAATGGCATGCCAACATGTAAATATGCAAAATGTACATAGTTATGTTTTATTTGTCTCTTGTTTACCTTGAAGTATTTTGTGGTTGTGTTTGTGTGAACCATCGAATGTACATGTTCTTTCAACGTCATCTCATATGCATGTTTATGTAAATGACGTCTGTCTTGTCATCATCGTTAGAGTATGTCTAAGACGGAGATGTTCTGTTGAGTGTTATTGACGTTTGTGGCAATAAATTTTTTCTAAGCAAAAAAATGGCAGCAATGTTTTGTATGAAAGAAGTGGTGCAGGGGAAACGAAAAGCATACGTTCAAATGACACATTACAACGCAACGCAAAACCCACGCAAAACGAAAAATGAAAAGATCGTTCAGTTAGCTAACTTGGTTAACATACATTGCAAGCACTCTGCAAATGAGGAAACTAAGATGGTGCAAATTGAGGCTTATCAAAGTTATCTGGTGTGGCAAAGTTTTGAAAACGTGCCGCAGCGATAATTGCAGGCGTCGGAAAATATAAAAATTATGGGACTTTCATATGACGCCACGTCCAGTGCATCTGCATAATTATTGGAGGATAAACCTTGATCACCTGGCACCCATACCAACCGTTTGAGAAGTAATTGTCTTGCGACAAGAGCTTAAAACACTTCTAAAGCATTGGACATATTAAGCGAAGCTAAGCAATAAAGTGACTCTCTGGATTGTTCCTCTTCAACATGCTAGTTGTTTGCGAAGAAAAAAAAAGTCTATTGGAAGATCCTTTCAGTAGAATGGCTTAAAAATTTTGCCTTCTGGTGTTCCTTTCCATTGGAGCAAATGGTATGAGCTTTAGACAAAGGAACGTTTGCGAAGCTGTATGCAAGTTCTTAAGGAAAGTAAAACGTAAAGAATGGTAATGTTAGGCGCGATTTCACTTTATCCTGAACACTGGTATAGCTTTTTGCGCTTTATTTTTTCATTCCCTTATTCATTCTATTTTAGTTCATATTTCCACAATGTGTTCTCGTTAATATTATAGGTGTATAAATGCCTTTGGCTGGTAAAACGATCTCATCTCTAAAATAAGCACCGTCCATTTTAACGCCGATGCCCAACATTGGCATGCGCCAGGACTTCTTGGAACAGCCAACCAACGAACCAACCCCCACGCGTGTAATAAACACGGGCATTACCAACTTAACAAAAAATATACGTAGTATACGGACAAATATAAATGAGGCACGTGTTATACTTGCGCAACAAACACAAAGAAAGACGGGGTGAATACAATATGCGACTGCTTCACCACCAGGAGAAAATAAACGTCTCGTGAAAAGTTTCAAAACTGCCATAGCACATCGGCACTCACCGGCGGTCTTGTCAAAAGTCAAAGTAATCATTTCCGAAGATGGACAGGCAGCTGTTTTCTCGCTGTGACACCACTGTACAATCTCATAGTGTCGCAGGATGCGCGTTTGCTTTCCTCTTCAAAACTGCTTGCCAACAGCCGAAGAATACGCGCATGTGTCAATGCTACGGTTCTCATGCAAGGGAAATCGCTGCCAGCCCAGAACGAACGTACATTCGTTGGTGTCCAGAGAGGCCCAAAGACTTTCCTACCTGCAGATGTCCCGACATCATATCCTTTTCGAAGCCTGGCACTGCGTATGCTGCGTGCATGCTCATAGGTGTATGCGCTCATGTATTGCACAAAACAACCTTTGTATAAACTTTTATTCACCTTTTATCTACCTAATTAATGAAATAACCAATACTTGCCTCTTGCATAATACAGTGGGAAGAAAAAAAAACAATTTAATACAACCGTTTGCGACAGATGGTGGGATGATTGCGGTGCAGTTGTGAACAGTGCCACATTTTTATGTTGAAACAAAGAAAGGGCACAATGTTTTAGATGTAAGAGAACGCAGCAATATTTTAACAATACAAATCACCGGATGAACTGCTGTAGTGATTTTATAAAATTGAATTTTGCTTACCCTTTAGGGGGTCCCTGTTCAGCTAGGCGGATTGCCCTATCTAAGGTGCAATGTAAATGGAATGAATCTTGCATAGTTTAGCTTTAATATCACTTTTTAGTTTTTTACTACACCATCTTTATAAGACTTTTTTGTGCGCTGTTTCACAAATGTGATTACCACGCTGACTTTTGAAATTCGGTACATCATTTTTGAAATGATGTCTTGGTAAAACATGTAGAGAAACGTAATCTTACACTGATAATTTTTCATTTGTATAGATATTCTCGGTTGTCACATATTTACATATTTTTTATGATGCTATACAGTTTTTGTGTGCGTAAATTTAACGCCTTGTTTTGATTTTTTTCTTTTGCAGACGCAAGTGTTTCTAGTTAAACACATCAGAATGAAGGAAAGCAAAACCCTGTATCTCCAAGTGATAGAATGGGTCTTGTTCATTCTTACGACGATCAAATGCGGACTCATTTTTCTGCTGAATTGGTGCTGGTTTAATAGGCATAAACTTCCGCCTGGTGCGAAGCTTCCACCGATGCCTCCAACGTCTTCCATTTTCGGTCATAAAGAGCTTAAACTTCACAACTTTCACTATGTAAAGGCTCTGCAATGGGCGAAAGAGTACGGGCCTGTATTCAGGTAAGTAAATTGTGCAAAAAAAAGGATGTGAGAGCACTCGAGTAGTGTATCGAAATTCTCTAGTCAATCAAAATTTGAAAGATACATCGGTCAAACCGAGACATCCTTTCGTATCCGTTTCAACAACCACAAATCGTGCATGAACAGTCCGTCACATTTTCTATTCTCCAAGCATTTTCATCGACCAGTTCATTCGTTCGACAAGATTATGGTGACGCTATTTGAATGAGGCTTCGAATTGCAACATTATCGTGAAATTCGAGAATCTTTCTCAATCCATAAATTCGAAAGTGTGTTATCCGGCATTAACAAATGCGTAGGCGAATTGTCATGACTTTCTACTATGCCCTGACGTCCGCATTTTTGTTAAATACCCAAAGAAGCATCCCTAACGTATTCTCGACTTCCTGAAAGTTATCACATGTTTTTTTTTGTTCTTTATGCTTGATTGCCGTCGTCAATAGTCAATGTTACAAGTGCTCTTTACATGACCATCATCTTGTCTACTGTACTACATTTTTTTCTAATGCTTTTTCTGATGTTGCCGTGGTTCTTGTAAAAATTTTGGAATACTCATAGGCTGATCGCACGTGTATTGCACTCTCGTGTCCTTGGCTGCCCATAAAAGCGGCCACACTAGTATTTCTGTTCATCCTGACAATGGCCGTGCCACGGCTGAAATGTAGAGTAAAACAGTATCCGATTTTCATAAGTGTGCTCCTTTATTTCTTCACTATATGTGCACCGGACCCACAGAACTTCTTTCTTGAATGATATATATATATATATATATATATATATATATATATATATATATATATATATATATATATATATAGGATGCCGCAGCTATCTTTAGTCTAAATATCAAACAAAGGCATGTTGCTGACCGTTGCCTGGAGATCGTCAGACTATCTATTGTGTTCAAAAATTTTTTTAACTAGATCTGCTGAAATAACTAACATTTGAAGCAATAAAGATGAATTAAAAAAAAAGCTGTAGACTGTTTTCAAAACGTTCAAATAGACAGTTTCATACTTTATATCTGTTAATTGCCAGTGTTTTTCGGCTAACTACAAGTACCTGTGAAATACAAAACCCACCATGTGACAAACCCGCTCACGCGCCAGCGCGCCAATTGATTATTGTGCTCGCTAAAGTTCCACGTACAAACGAACTGAAAATTTGCTCGATTGCGCTGCCTTGACACGGCCGCAACGATGGTGGTGGCTTTGCGATTAACACGTTGTGCTATCGGCCACAAAAACGATAACTGCTGTGACTGCTTATCGCTGTCATGAACTGGAAGAGGGAAGCGTATCATCCGTACGCGGAACACCAAGAATCACCATGATCACGGCGCGCGTAGGCTGAGAGCAGGTTGGTCACGTCATGTTTTAGTAATTCACGGGCTTTTGTAGATAGCATAAAAAACGCTGACAAAAAACAGATACAAAGTTCAAAACTGTTGATCGCACTTTTTGCAAAAAGATGTACAACTTTATGATTGAAAGTTTTTTCCCTCTTTCGTACTTCAAAACTTAGGGAAATAAACAGATCTTATCTAACAATATCTTAAAACAAAAAACAAAAAATATTCTTACTAACTCCAGACAACGGTCAGCAATATGCATTTGATCGCATCGTAGTTGCGTGTGTCGGTATATTTTCAATCTCTGACTAAAGACAGTTGAGGTACACTGTATATATATATATATATATGTATATATATATATATATATATATATATATATATATATATATATATATATATTTATATATATATATATTTATATATATATATTTTTTATTTATTTATACAGTGAATCCATTCATTGAAAATGAATCCTTCCGAAACGTCGCAGCACCGATACACTTCACTGATAAAGCTGAAATTGGTGAAACAACTCTCTATTCACCATCACGTGTGCGGGTCACTCAGCGGCTACCGTTTTTTTTTTGTTTTGAACGTGCATGCATCTGCAAAGATTTTTCGTCTGGGATTGGAGATAAAATGTGCGGAACGAATGACGGCGTATATCGCGCATATGTAGGCCCTAGAATTGATTGCTTTTATCTGTACCAGGATAGAAAGAATGAATCCCGAAGCATGAAATCACAGCAACCATTCTGTTCCGCTATTCTACTTTCACCCTTGCACGAGTTTTTCGTGCATCCGCTGAAACCAAAAAGATGAATGTTCGATAAGTTACCGAGAAGCGCAGACAACCTAGCATTATTTATCGCGTGTGCAGCAAGCCCTTTCGCGAAATTATAATTTGTACTGTGTTGGGGTTGATATCTGATAATTACGACGTGGGACTTTAGCAAATCTACAAAAAGGAATTTGCGATTTATTCACCCCAGGCCAACGAGCTTTTTTTAGCTGTCTGCAGCTCAGGGTGGCAAGAATGGTTTTGTCCTAATGCTGTAATTTTGCGTTGCATATTCAGACGTCTCTTCTGCTAGCAGCCGTAATGTGCTGAGATGCTGGTAAGGAAACTGATTGATGCCAGAGACCAGCACATTCACTGAACGCACGATACGGTAATTGCAAATGATAGTCGAGCAAACGATTCATTCAAGTATGATTGCAACGTTCGCGCATCTTGTCACTCAATACACCCCGCGCAGAGAAGCCCGTGTAGTGAGAGCGAGGATGAGGGGCACAAAATATATGCGGATAAAGTCCTACTTATTGAAATATATGTCATAAAAATTGTGGAGCAATATTCATAGTGAAAGTAGCGGGCCGAACAAACCACGGTTGTTCTGAAGAGTAATTGCCGCAAAAAATTCTAGATACCCTCATGAAAGGTCAAGTGAATTGAACTAATGTCAAAGCATCCCCCGTTTCCTTTGGCCATTTCATACCGCTCTGAAAAGTATAGGGTGACGCATTGCCGTAAATCCTGCGCGGCAATGCGTCACCCTATACTTTTCATCAGGGGATGAGTATAACTCATCCCCTGATGAAGGGAGGTCCCTCCCGAAACTGTTGGGAAATAAATATATTTATCCTTGATTCCCTACGAGACTTGGAACATCGGTACAACGCGACACTACGCCGGACTTGGTATTTACCCGTAACGTCACAGGCCACACCTGGACCAATACGCAGGAAAACCTGGGCAGCGATCACTTCATCATACGAACCGAACTACCCAACGCATCAGCCCCACCCCGTACATTCACGCTAACGGACTGGGATGCCTTCCGCACCCTCCGCAAAAACAACACAAAGGAATACAACACATTCATCGAACTACTCACCTCACTTCAGGAAGACATAGCCAAAACAACGAAAACAATACAAACAGAACTCGAGGTCCCGAGAATGGACCCACATCTGGCACATTTGCTCGAGGCAAAAGCGTCAATACTCGCGCGCTGGAAAACACAACGACTAAACAGACGCTTACGAAAACGTCTATCAATACTGAACCAAGACATTGCCAAATATTGCACGGAGCTCACACGACTCCAATGGCATGAACTCTGCTCGGCGGTCGACGGCCGCATGCGAACTGGGGGTAAATGGAACCTCCTAAAATACATGCTGGACGACTGCGAAACAAAAAACAACCAGAGTCATGCCATAGACCGGCTCCTACACTCGCACAAAAAGATGGGAGGAACAAACTCATCCTTTCTTGAAGAAATCTCCAAACGTCACCTCCCCTTAAACACAGCACAACCCACCGACTACCCAGAAATAGAATGCGAAACGATACCCGAACTCGACGAACCCTTCACGGAGTCAGAAATTCGGGAGGCATTACACAACCTCAACAGCAGATCAGCCCCCGGTCCTGACAAGGTAACCAACCGCCTGTTGCGAAATTTAGACGACCAAGCCATCACACTACTCACAAAAGACATTAATTACATGTGGGAAACTGGCCAGGTACCTGAACAATGGCGCACGGCCACGGTAATCCTTCTCTCAAAGCCAGGTAAACCACTCAACTTCGACAATCTACGCCCGATTTCCCTAACCTCATGCATAGGAAAAGCAGCTGAACATGTCATCCTAAATCGTGTATCGCGCTACATAGAGGATCACGAACTCTTTCCGTTCAACATGGTCGGGTTCCGTCCGCACCTTTCAACACAAGACGTCATGCTATTACTAAAGAAACAGATCTTCGACTCAAAAACGAGAGATGTTCGTGGCATTCTCGCCCTAGACCTCACTAAAGCATTCGACAGCGTCTCACACCGCTTTATACTGGAATCCATTGCCAGCCTTGGTCTCGGTAAAAGATTCCAGGCGTACATTCGTTCTTTTCTGCAAAATCGAAAAGCTCAGCTGCATTTATCGCAACTTACATCCGACACTTACACATTAGGTTCCAACGGGACACCACAAGGGGCAGTCATTTCTCCACTCCTTTTTAACATAGTAATGAAGGGACTATCTGACAAACTCCGCGAGATCCCAAACATAAACCATGCTATATACGCAGATGACATCACCATCTGGTGCCCGGGAGGCTCATTGGCGGAGTTGGAGCAAGCCCTTCAAACTGCTCTCAATACCACAGAAGCCTACTTAAAAAACACTGGACTTCGTTTGTCGCCCACAAAATCAGAGTTGCTACTGTACCGGCAATCTCGCCAAGGCGTTCGTAACTTAACACCCTTAGGTGATCTACCCATAGCGCTACACGCCAAAGATGGGCAGCGAATACCCCGCGTGGACTCCATACGCATTCTCGGCCTCCTCGTCGAGGCCACTGGCTGTCATGCAAGAACAATTAAACATATCACAGCTAAAACCGAGAACATGCTCCGACTCATTCAGCGAGTCTCGGGTCGTAGACGAGGCCTTGGAGAGGCCAACCTTCTGCGCATATACCACGCGTTCCTAATGAGTCACATCAATTACGTCGCCTCTGCCCACAACTGGACGAAGGTAGAAAAGACGAAACTAAACACACTCATGCGCAAAAGCATTAAACAAGTCCTTGGTTTGCCTCAAAACACGAGCACTTCCCGTCTCGACCAACTAGGCATGCACAACGGCATCGATGAAGTGATCGAGGCCCAGACCACGGCCCAAGTGATCCGCCTCTCCTCCTCCAAGGCAGGCCGCCGACTTCTAAGCGAGGCCGGCATGTCCCCACACCCCTGCCTTGAACGCGCAGTAACCCTCCCCAGAGTTGTCCGAGCTACTTACATGGTAACCCCATTTCCGCGAAATGTCCACCCACAACACAACAAAGGCAGACGGCTGGCCCGCGCTCGCGCGATCCTAAACCGTACCGCCGCGAATCGCAACTCTACCGCATTCGTCGACGCAGCGCAATACGGTAACTCCTCCTCTTTCGCACTCGCGGTAGTAGATGGCGACGGAGCCCTACGCTCAGCCGCCTCGGTTAGGCTATCAACAAGCGCCATAGCCGAACAAGTTGCTATAGCTTTAGCGATGACCGACCCCTCACTCACTAATGTCTTCACAGACTCTCGCGCCGCCATTCGGGCTTACGAAACCGGCAACATCGCTCCAGAAGCAGCCCGCATTTTACAAACACGGAAATATACGGGCTCGCACTACCTCTCTTGGTTCCCTGCCCACATGGGCAAAGACGTTCACCCACAACAACCCAACCTCAACGAAATGGCTCATGATCGAGCACGAGAACTGACCCGCCGTGACGATCAATCAGCCACCGAAGAGCTGGGCCCAGACGTGCAGTTTAATGACCCACTACTCACCTTCCATGAAATTACCTCCCACTACCGACACAACAGAAGCCGATACCCTTTACCCCATTCAAAACTCGAACGCGCGCAAGAAGTAGCCTTTAGAATGTTACAAACGAGATCGTACCCATCACGGGGCCGACTCAGCCATTATAACTCAGACATAAATTCACAGTGCCCAGATTGCACAGAAGTGTACTGTTCACTCGCGCACATGCTCTGGCAATGTCCCGCGTTACCTCAGGGACCTCTCACCAGTGAGTCCGACTGGGAGGAGGCACTCAGGAGCCCCAATCTCCGAAACCAACTTAAGGCAGTCCAGAGGGCCCAAGAACTGGCGGAACGCCACCACGTTCCAGCCCCGACTCGGGCGTCGCCTACGGTAGCGGCTGCTAGGATGTCCCACGTGGGCACCCTGGTGGCTTAAACTCCTCAGGACCATATATTAAAGTTCTTGACTGACTGACTGATCCTTGTTGACAACGCTCCCGTTGTGCTATATCCCATATATATATATATATATATATATATATATATATATATATATATATATATATATATATATATATATATATATATATATATATATATATCAGACAAGCTAGCAATGGTAACAGTGACGACACAACAAAATCTTGCCGTGTGTGCCCGTATATTTGCTATTTCATTAAAACATTTCACAGGACTTCTACGGTAGGTTGAAGCCCCCCATTTGTTGTCTCCCAATCCCATTTACTATTCGTTCTACGCTTGTGAAAATCTGAATCTGCATTCTGTTTCCATCATACCTAAGAAAAATGAAAATTTCTGTAATTTCTAAAATTTATCAAAATTCCACTTTTCATTTAAATAGCGGACAGGTTAACAAATACGAATCATGGAGCACAGATCTTCAAAGCAACGTGGTAAGCGTTAGGGCTTAAAGATATTGCAAAATCTTGTAAATTTTTTCTAGCAATTTCTTTGCACAAATAGAGCTGCAGTAGTGGTCATATCTCAAGCGTCAAAGAAAGTTCGGAAAATCTGAAAATGACGCTCTAACCCGGTATTTTCGCCCGCTTGCAATATTTAAGTCGACATGAATAAACACATTCTTGGACTTATGGCATAAATATTTGGCATCTACAATAGATCCTTAGAGCGTGGCTTAAGAAAAACGTGTAAACAGAGAAAAACACAGGTCCACTTTGAACTTCGGGTTAATTTTCGTGCGATGTTTTAATTATAATACAAGCTTCTGAAAACAACAGTAAAAAATTAGCATTCATGGCGCCGTATCGCAGAACCAATGGCCTGTGCAGCCAGATAAAAATGTAGCAATGAGATCAATTTAATCAAATACACTTATATATAGAGTGCCATTCTCACAAAAAATAGGCGATAGTTCCTTCAGCGTAGGAGCTCGAGCGAGTCACCTAAAGATGCAAAGGTCAATAGGATTTGTCTCTAAGCCTGGATGAGTCCCTTAAGCTGGCAGTTTTCAAAAACGGCCAGCATATTTTAATAACTGCCAGCATACGTGTTGTTACAGTTTGCTTTGTTGTTCTTGACTTCTTTTTTTTTTTTCTAGACTAAGAAGTTACTTTCGAAGTATTGTGGTACTGAACGACATTGAATCTATAAAAAAGTTCTCTGTGGATAACCAAGTACTCGACCGACCAGAAATTATGAATTTTGGTTGCGGCAGCTACAAAGGTTAGTTTGGCATATGAAAGTTCAATTGCTCTTACCTACATCTTCAGAATTTAACATAAGAACGGTATAGGCAATACTTCAGGCAGATAGATCCTGCTAGAACACCTTCAATTAGAATGGTAAAAAAAGTCTGCTGTGTGGTGCCTCGTGAATGGCCTAGTAGCGTCTCAAGAGTACATGTATGCCATCACCTGTGCAGCGCTAGCTATAGCCATTACATCATTCATCTGCTTTGTTTCGAAATGTTAAAACTTGCCTGGCCAAGCATAGGCTTCATATTAGGTGACACTTCCTATACCGTTGCAGTGACTTGGTGTTGGCTTAACCAAATCAGTTATATCAATAAATAATGATGCCTATCAACAATGCCAACATTCGTCGAACATATTCTGGGCACGCATATAAATTGATGATCAATTCTGTTAACTGCTTAGCGCTATTACCCTAAATGTACAGAGTGTATGTTTAACAAATATTTTGCCTTACACACTAAACAACGCTCGGGGTATTAAACTTCGAGACGCCATAACTCGAAGAATCAACAAAATTCGATTCCTCAGGGTTTTCACTATTGACCTAAACCTTACCACAAGGCAAAACTGATGAAACATGCACATGAAACGTGCCTATTTTTATCAATTTTAGCTGAATATTCCAGGTGGAATTCAAGCAGCACTTCACACACGCATTCTTATTTTTCAATAATTGACAATACAAACTTCAGGTGAGTCATTACTGTGTAAAAGAGTCCATATTAATTTATTGCCCCAATCATAAGCACGTGGTCTGTTCTTCTAGTGAAAAATCATTTTTGTCTCATGATTTTTTGTAGGTGTGTTGATCATGAATGGCAAAGTGTGGAGGGATAACAGAAACTTTTGCATGTGGACGCTACGAGACCTCGGCTTTGGAAAGTCGACGGTGGAAGACAAATTGGCGGTGAGCATGCCGGAAGCAAAGTGCCGATAAATGCCACTCTGTGTTTATTACAACATTTGTAGGGAACACAAGCGGCTACTTCCACGACCTCTTAAGTTACCTCCTGTAAGCCGCAGTAATACAGAGGGATTGGGGAAATTTTATGTAAGTTGTTGATAATTGTACCCTACATTTGGCGTCGTATTTCATAGGTATGTAACCTTTTCGCAGCGTTCCCATGGTTTAACCTTCATTCTTGTAGCCTTGTATTGCTTTCTGCGACTATGATCGCTTTGCCTGGACCAATACTCAACAAATTTAGGTGACCATCTCAAAACTCTAGGACGCAGTAAGCCTGGTTCTGAGCCCTCAGGACGCTGCCTCAGCTGATTGTATATCTTAAGAAATCTTTCAAGATGTTCCAACATTTAACACGTGCAAGTAGACCACGTTCGCTTCATATTTATAATGAGAGGCAGGTATTCATCTAGGTTATCTTCGAATATTTATCAACACATGAAGACGTTATCTAAATATAAGAAGCTGTCTTGTGTTGTATCCTAGGTGGAACACATTCTTATTTTGTGACGCACCCTACTGAGAACTTTGTTTTACAAACTGAGCTGTACACTCCCATAAAGAAGTGTGCATCTAAAACAGCCCAATCGCACCGAGTACAACAGGCAGATAGATAGTGCAGATGCTTGGGAGATTCTTATAAAAGCCCAATTTAAAAGTGATAGCTTTAAAGAGCTCATTCCTCCGAAATCCTGTTGTTAGAATCGGCGCTATATCAAACATTTTTTTCCGAAAAATTGTCAAATAAAATAGGTAATAAATGTTTTCGTTCATGTTAGAATCGACCAAAAATTGTCTACGGGGCACGTAGGTGTCTTGAACATCGTCATGCTAGTTTCTCAAACTGCGGTGAAAAAACGCAATATGAATATCAATTATACAGTAGAGGGACTCCCCAACACATTTTATACTGCATAGCAGACGCGTAGAATCGCGCGACACTTCAAAACATGTGAAATACTGAACGAGCGTTTGTTTTAAAAGTCGACCCATTATGAAACTCTGAGACATATTTAATCATCACCAGTTGCGAAAGCATCAAGAAAGGAAATAGCTGCGTAGCCGCTGCTCATAGGAGCGGATCGACTGCTTCTGGCGCGAATATTGTGGAACAAACAGCCTAGCGAAGGTAAAATAACGCCCACAACGAATGTTTTCGAATGCAATAGGTGACTGGTAATAAGGACAATCGCAGGAAACTGTGGCACACGATGGCTTCCGGTTTGACGCACCACGCGGGTTAGCAACGGCACGCGCACATTTTTGTACCACTCCGTTGAAAAAAGCACCTCTCCGTGCAATGTCAGTGCCTTAGAAGTTGGTATTTTGTTTATGCTAACCGTGACTGTGACGATGACTAGCTACGAAAGCCATGTGTGTTTAGGGAATTTTTTCATCGCACTAAAATTATCTGAAATGTCTTTAGGCTGCTCAGAGGTATACTGTCAGTTTGGCAAGCACATCAGTCGATACAGAAAACAGTTTTCATTTCATCATACATTACTGCAGATAAAAAAATCACCATTTTAATGATCTGAGGGGATGACTGTAGCAGTGAGCTGAGAGTTCGTTTCGGGATCACTGCTTCAGCCGACATCATCGGTTGATCGGCATGGAGCCTTGAACTTATTGAGCACGTTGAAATATCTTTTTTCTAGCCTGCAGCGCGCTATAAGATGCATTTCTTAGTCGAAGCCAGATGCTTATTTGAACGCTGGTCTTGATCAAGCTGCGCGGCACGGCGGCACATAAACAGTACAGTAAGACATAGACGGCGCCGAATAATCGAAACACCACGCTTGTTTAACGCACCTTTTCTTTTGGATTCTGTCCTGGCGCACAGTTTAACTAAAATGAACTCAAATAGACTCGTTTAGCGCTTCTTGTAAACTTACTCTTCTGTGAAGCTTTCGTGTTTTTTTTTGTCATATATATGGGCGCAATGGCCGGCGCTCATAACATGGCAGGTAGATTTCACCCACGCGTTCCCATAATATCTTTGCTTGGTGCGCCTTCGCGACAATCTATTTTTCAATATAATATTCGCTCTAATTCATGCGTAAGCTTTCCTTTTAGTCTTTTAGTGTGGAGTACACATGAACCTGTGATTATATGTTTTTCGCACAATATGTCTTCCTCATAGGCTACCTGTCACTGTGGCTCCCTTCACAGCCGCAGCCCACCTCATTTTTTCCTTTACTCAATGGGAATTGATACCTACGTTTGCCTTTCACGTTCGAGTTGGAGCAGCCAACGGCTGAACAACCAACCATGATAAATCAGAATGAAGATAAACGGGCGACCGCGCGCGTGAACGCCGAACAACCTGTGTGTTTAGAAAAGGTGGGTAACGATTTCGAGTACTTAGTACTCGACTACGGAAAAGCCTTAAGCCATCCAGTGGGCCTCAATAATCTGAGGCTTGCGGCATAGCAGTTCGCTGTCGTCTACTCTTCTCGAACCGGAAGCCGGTAGCAGATGGTGCATCTCACAATCCCTCGCTCTTTTACTGGTCACCTATTATGAATATGTTTAGTTGCAGCCCAATTGACGCGGCCAAGAAACGTCCCAGATGGCCCATGAGCACTTCGATGCCCCCAACCGCATTGCTCTTAGGAAAGGGAAACTATGTGTGACTGTTCTCGCTCGTCATCTGCAGTTTCCGCCGTGCGATATTAATTAGTTCGGGTGTTTCGAAATTTTATTAAGCCCACCTTTCTCCAGCCTCTACAAGTGTGTAGATGCATCTAGCGAAACGACGCGTTGTCTCATCGACGGCACGGTAGTGTATGACGCACGCCACGTTATTCAATGCGCGCAGCCAATGCCCTCAATGGAGATAACACCACCGTAGCGGTTCTGGTTCTGCAAACACGTGAAATAGCGATTGGATTGAATTGGATAAACTCTCATTTCGTCCTCCAAAACACAGATCACTGTGTTGCCGGCAGCTCCCGCGTAGGGACTGAGATGCCAAGCTCCTCAGCCGCTTCGCGGGCTTGGTGGACAGCCCAGAGCTGATCTGCCAAGGATAAGCTGTGGATTGCCGCCTCCCATCTGGCAGAGGTGATGTGCGATAAATGAGCGAATTTGGTGCACTGCTTGAGCATGTGTTCTAATAAAGCTATTTTCCCACAATGTGGACAAAGATTACTTGGGTATAGGTCAGGGTACATGATGTGTAACATTTTCAAAGTAGGGTACATCCGCGTTTGCAAAAGCCTTAGTGTAAGTGCTTGGGGCCGGGTTAGAGTTTTGTGAGGTGGAGGGAAAATCCTTCCAGACAGGTAGAAATGTTTAGTGAGCTCGTTATATGTTGCGAGAAATTCCCGGTTATCCCCTTCACCGGTAGAACGCATCCCCGTAGAGGCGTGGTTGGAAAGTTCTCGCGCCACCTCGTGTGCTGCTTCATTAAGATTGGGAGGGGAACCGTTGATTTGCCCAAGGTGAGCTGGAAACCACCTCAGAAGATGATGCATTATGTTCTTGCCTTGCAGTATTCTCAGCGTTTGTTCAAAGACCGTTCCCTTGGCGAACGCCCGTAGTGCTGCCATGGAATCACTGTAGACGACTTCAATGTTATTCATCTTGAGTGCTAAGGCGATGGCCACCTGTTCCGCAATGATTGGGTCTTTCGTCCCGATTGTCGCTGAGTTGACGACATGGCCAGCCCCATCGACCACCACTGCCACAAACGCTTTCCCATTGGCGTAGGAAGCCACGTCAACAAACACAACCCCTCGTTCCTCGTTTGAGACTTGACGAAGTATAGTCCTGGCCCTCGCTACTCTTCTTCCGACGTTGTGTTCTGGATGCGTGTTTCTTGGTATAGGAGACACCGTGATATTCTCCCTGATGTTGTTGGGGATATCATTGTAATTGTGCCTGATTGCCATTGGGTGTTGACCCAGCTCCTGCAGGATCATTTTCCCCGACCTTGTTGTAGATAACCTTGCAAACTGTGCTCTCTCTTGGGCTTCTGCTATTTCTTCGAGCGTGTTGTGAATGCCAAGCTCAAGCAGACGCTCGGTGCTGGTATGTATGGGTAGGCCCTGGACCTTTTTGATAACTTTCCTGAGGAGCACATTCAGTGTCTCGGACTCTGCTCTTGACCAGTTATGCATTGCTGCCTCGTACGTGAAGTGGCTTAAAACAAACGCATGCCTCGACCTGATAAGGTTGTCTCCCTTGATCCCATTTCTTTTGTTGGACACTCTGCGTATGAGGCGCACTGCACTGTCTTTTTTCAAGTTAACTTGGCTATAGATTTGCTGTTGGCGCCGGTAGACTCTATCAGCATGCCGAGAACTTTGATGGAGTCGACCCTCTGGATGGAATCCCCTTTATTTGTACGGATGTGGATGTCTATCTGATTTAACGGCTTCCATCCCCTGGGACGCGGTCCCCGGCGTGCAGTCCGATACAGTAAAAGTTCTGGCTTACTCGAGGAGCACTTGAGCCCAGAAGGACGAAGGTACTCTTCTACGGTGTCAATCGCCTCTTGCAGGGTGCTCTCAATCTACCCCTCGCTTCCACCTGTGCACCAGATGGTAATGTCATCTGCGTAGATGCTGTGCTTCAATCCTTCAATGCTCGATAATTTCTTTGACAGTCCAATCATGGCAATGTTGAACAGCATTGGTGAAATCACTGCCCCTTGAGGCGTGCCCCTTGCTTCTAGTTCGATTGCTTCGGTCTCAATATCTGCAATCTTCATCACGGCTTTCCGATCTGTAAGAAAGGACCATACGTAGTCATAGAAAGCTTTCCCCAGACCAAGCTTGGAAATTGCTTCGAGTATGAATGAGTGGTGGATGTTGTCAAACGCTTTTTCTAGATCTAGGCACAGAATGGCTCTCACGTCTCTCGTTTTGTTGTCCATGACCTGGTGTTTGATAAGCTTCAACGCATCTTTGTGGATAGCCCTGCCCTGAATCCAACCA